AACTGGCTTCTACAAAAAGCAAATAAACACCACAGTACATGATACCTTACAAGTAAAAATAGGAAAACACTATATCAAACTTCGGTTTGTTTTATGTGACAAACCAAACTTTAAGTCAAAAATCCCATTTGGTGGAATTACAGAGAAAGGAGAAAGAAGTAAATAACAGTGTGAACTCAGTTTAATTGCAGACTTGTGTAATTTTAGATTTTAAAATGCATCTCAGCTGATGTCATTTCATAGCATGAGGATGGATTGTTAGTGTTCAGCCCACAGATGATGGCTCATCTTCCAGGCTTATCCTCATCTCATTTCATAGAGGCTGTGACACAAACCTATTTACTCAAACCTTCCATTATATACAGCAGTGTCTTGACATGATCCGTTTTGAAAGTGAGCTAATGAGATACTCAAGCTTATCTTATTAAAGTATAAAATAATACAAACAATGAAGACCATTAGATATGGAACAGCATTTTTATACAAATAAAATTTAAAACACTGTCTGTACAGATTCTCACTTGTAACAGAAAGACTACCTACTCAATTTATCTGATCATATGACTGCTTTGCTTTTACATTTTTCCTTAAAAATTTTATAGTCAAGACTGCACTAATTTACTTTACCAAATACATTGATGATAATCTTCCTTCCTCTTAAAATGTCATAATTATTTCTTCCTTTCTTTTTTAAAAAAACTGTTTTTATTAATTTTAGAGGAGGAGGGGAGAGACAACGATGTGAAAGAGAAACATCAATTGGTTGCCTCTCCACCAGGACCGAATCTACAGCCTGGACATGTGCTCGGACCGGGAATTGAACCGGCAACTCTTCAGTGCCCAGAACTATGCTCAACTGAGTCACACTGGCCATTGCACCTTTTTTCTTTCAAACCATTAATAATATGCAAATATACTAAAATTTAAGCCAGAAATTCACTTATAGGCAAACATTTTAAGCATTATTCCCGCTGTGACCAAAGAAATATCTTGGTCTCTATTCATATTTATAAAAATGTGTATCATTATCTCTGATTAATTTATCTTTTACCTTTTGACTTCTAGCTATTGCTACCAAACATCACCTCATTTGTTTATTGACATTAATGTATTGCTAGAGAACTACGCTCCAAGTATAAAATGATAGATGCTAAAATAGTGTTTTGGCAATAGCTAATATTCTGTTAAGGGTCACTGACAAAGTTTTCATAGTGGCTAAAAAAAACCAACGCTCTTCTGAAGTACCAATATTAAATGTGCTAACGAGGATTGGGGGACTAGATGAAGCACTGATAAATGTGTGTAAATGGCTTTGAAAATGACTGTCATTAATAGCATTCTCTTAATACCTTAAGTAGAAAATGAAAAGCCAAACATTTATTATTAATATATATGGTAACCAAATGTAATTTTTATTGACTTCCTGGTTAGTATTATTATACTTGCAAATATGAGTTTTTGGTATTTAATTAATTCCTGGAAAGCACCAAAAAAATAAAAATACTTCTGCAAATGCTTTGTTATACATTGGCTCAAAGCTAATCACTCCAAAGGGAAGGGAGAATATTAACTGTCTAAATGTATATATTTTAGGGTCTTAGTTCAAGCAGTTTAAATTGAGAGGATCCTGTAATTATACTCACAGAGTCAGGGGCATGTTGTTATCTATTACTAGCCACTGGGAAGATCATTTATCTTACCAAAATGCTGAGGTAAAAGAATTATAAAAAACTAAGTCAGTTGACAATGCTAGTAACAATGGGTCATCTGGCTTCAAATTTTAATGGATAGTCTGTATGTTCTCTCTTGTTAAGGAAATCCTGGTACAATGTTGGTGGGAATGTAAACTGGTACAGCCATTATGAAAAACATTATGGAGGTTCCTCAAAAAATTAAAAAGAAAATACCATATGATCCAGCAATCGCACTTTTGGGCATACATATATAAAAAAATTAGGATCTCAAAGAGACATCTACCCTCCCACATCAGACATTTAGTTATGTAAACAACCTAAATGTCAGCCAACAGATGAATGGATAAAGAAAATGTGGTATGTGTCTGTGTATGTGTGTGTATGTGAATACTATTATATATACCATTATAATGGATTATTACTCAGCCTTAAAAAGGAGGAAATACTAACATCTGCAACAATATGAAAGAGCCTTGAGAACACTGTGCTAAGTGAAATATACCAGACACAGAAAGACAAAGTGTGATCTCAATTATATGTGGAATCTAAAATAGTCACATGCATAGAAGCAGAGTACAATGGTGGGTACCAGAAACTGAGGGAGGGGGAAATGGGGAGATGTTGATCAAAAGGTACAAAGTTTCAGTTATGCAAGATGAATAAGTTCTGGAATTCTAATGCATAACAATGTGGCTATAGTTAACAATACTTTATTGTATTGAAATTTGTTAAGAAGGTAGATCTTAAATGTCACTACAAAAAAAAGTGATACCTATCTGAAGAGGTAAATGTTAATTAGCTTGAATGTGGTGATTATTTCACAATGTAAATGTATATTAAATCATCAAGTTGTATACCTTAATATATACATTAATAGAAATGTATACAATATATACAAGTATCAAATATATCTCATAAAAATGTCAAAACTCTTATGTTATGGTAACAAGTTTGGTTTTTCTCTAAGTCAATAAAACACTGTACTTCATTTTAAAATCTGAATGGTAAAATGAGAAAGATAAAGGCTGAGAACAGGTTTGAATATGGTTTATAAAATTAGGAATGGACAAACATGGGTTTACTAATTGATATGAAAATATCTTAGAACAGGAGTTACAAATTCATTCCACAAACCAAACCCAGACTGCCCCTTAAATATGTTTTTTTAAAATTTTCTAATGGCAAAAAAAAAAAAAAATCAAATCAAAGGAAGATTATTTTGTGATACATGAAAATTATACGAAATTCAACTTTTAGTGTCCATAAGAAAATAGACCTTTATTGGACTCTGGGCACACTCATTCATGTATGTATTGTCTATGGTTGCTTCCACACTACAATGGCAGAGCTGAGTAACTGCAACAGAGACCTACATGGTGCTCTCTTTGCTTTGCATTGCTGCCTAGCACATTACAAATTATAGTGATGTAGTTTATAACTACTAGCATTTTGAATGGCACATAGATTGTCATACCACAACATTTTAAAGTTTTCAGTACATACCAATAATGTCAGAATATGAGAGAAAGAGAGAGAACTTCAAGTGTCATGTGTTTAAGGCACAGTGAACAATGGATTATTTTGTTATTGAATTAGATGGCAAAGCATTGTTTAACATGCAGTGACACTGTAGTTGTTTTGAGATATATATATGAATTACCAAACTAAGTATTCTCAATTTATAGAATGCAGTGACCAAAGAAATTAGAAAATTAAAACAAGGTATCTCATCACAGCAGAATTTATTTACAAAAATGAAAATAAAGCTGTAAAGTAAGTTTTGGAGTGGCTCATTTGTTAGCCAAGCAAAGAAAGCCTTTTCACCAACAGTGAGTTCATTACATTATTTTTGATTCATCAGTTGAAGAGATATATCCAAAATAAACTTGCTTAAGACTATTAGCTGTTTGTCAAGAACAGTTGCTTGAAAGAATTGAGAACACTGGGAACATCAATGTAGTCAATAAAAACAAACAAGGCAAATCAAATGATTCTGAGTGGTTTCCCATGGTTCTTGATGAATCAAAGATGTTACTGATACTGCCTAGTGATTGTTGTTTATTTGATAAATCAATGCCAAGGTTGAAGTGTCTGAAGAGTTAGTGTCCATGAGTTCTATGTGTGGAATAATTAAAGGCAAGAATACTTTCTAAGAAGTTAAGAAAACATGATTTCAGGACAATCTGAAGAACTTGCTAAGATGTGTTAGAACTGGTTAGAATTTTTATTCATGGTAAAAATATGTGTGGAGCAAAAAGAAGACTTAGTTGGTCAAATTTACAAAGCTTGTAAAAATATAAAGTGTTAAAATCCATGGTTATTTATGTATTATTCATCAGCAGGTACTTTGTGGAATATATCTGACTCAATCTTTTGTTATTGAACTAGTATTGTCATCTAGCAATTTGCTGGCTTAGCAGTGGTAGTTTTACTGTTTTTGAGCTCAGAGCTGATATTGAAATTTTTCTGAAGAAGAAATACCCTCAACCACTATTCTGAAACACTAAAGGGCTTTGGAATTTAGCTTTTGTTGCAGATTTGACAAATGCTTTTTTATGAATTCAACCCAAAATAATTTAACCAGTTCAGCATAATGAGAACAGTTATCCCCACTGTATGTGGGATTCACTGGGATTCAAGGAAAGTCTCCAGACTCAAGGAAAGTTCTAGAGCTGTGATTCTCAAAAGGGAGCCCTCAGACCACCACCACCAGCAGCCGCACCTGTCTGACTACTTACTAGAATCACAGATTCTACTGAATTGGAAGCTCTGGGAGTGGAGCTAAACAGTGTTTATATAGGAAACATACTTATGTAATTCTGATGACAACTACATTGTTTGAATTATGAAGTAACATCAAGCTTATCTTATCAAAAGGTAAGATAATAAGCGAGCTCTCTGTTTTCACATAAATCTGCAACAGATTTTCTAAGCTCAAACTATAGGTCCAAGTGGATTTTTTTGGACCCTGATGCAAGTATAAAGGAAATTTCCATTTCCCAATAACCATTCAGTTGTGCAATCAAGGAGCCTCCACCTAACATTCAATTGGAAGTGATTAATCTGCAATGTAATAACATGCTAAAAGAAAATTATCAGAAGAAGGAATGTAATAGAATTCTATCAATGCCTTCCAAGTGATAAATATGTTAAATGAGAATCATATTCTTCTCATGAATTAACATATGTATTTGGCAATACCTATCTGTATTTCATAATATTTCATATTTTTCTTTAAAACCTACAAATGTCTTAATAGGTTAAGACATTTCCACCATTATAAAAACCACACAACACAAAACAAAATCAATTCTAACATATAACCCCACAAAAGCACACTGATTTTATTATAGAACATACATTAAGTCACTGAGTAAAGCTCTTTTTTATGAACACGTTTGGAAAGCTCCCATTGAACTCGAGCACAGCTCTATTGTCAATCTGAGAGCAGAAGGACACATCAAGTAGAGAAAGATCTTTGCATGATTCCAGGAGTTTTCTTAAGGACATCGGACTTACCATTCTTGTTCCTGTTCAAAAAAACAAAACCACATAAAACACTTTAAATAGAATATTTATATAATGTTCTAATAAAGAGTCCCTTTATTACTGATTGTTTAAAATACACTTCAAATAAATTGCCTTTTAAAAATTAAAAGCATTTCTTAAAAGACTTATAGTCCTGTAAACAAATATGCACTGAATTTTCCCAGCCAATTTGGCATCTCCTGTCAATACTTTACCCTCTATCTTCATTCCCACCTCCTGCCCCTTCTAATCAGCTCCTCCAGACTTTCCTATTTCTGTCACCCCAGTTCAAAACCATTTGAATCTCTTTTTCTTAATCCATGGCAGCTATGCTTACAACCTCTAATTAGATTCAACCTCTAATTCCATGCAATGCAATTACTGAGCAACTACCCTGTAGAAACTTGTTTCAAGCACTGGAGATTCAAGGAACTCAGTGACCAGGGTTGAAGGCTATTAACTACAACACAACTTGATAAGTTTATGGCAAGTGGTGGGTGTAAAATGGCAGTACTGAAAGACAGATGATGGGTGATGAGTACTAGTTAGCCCATGTTAAATTTGAAGTAATTATGGGATATTCAGATGGAAGCTAAATTATCACTAGGTTACAAGATGTCATCTGTTGGAACATACCTTTCTTTAACTACAGCTTTACTAGGGGAAAAATATCACAATTGTATTACATAATACATCTACTGGGATGGGGATTAAAGTTTCTGAAATGTTAACCCATGACTTTTTTCTGAGAACTCCTTTCTCCTCCCCTCCCTGACATGAGCTGTGGAAGCTATAACTACAACTGCTACCCAGGCTGTGACTGGCCCCTCACCAAACCAATACAGATTCTCCTGAAAATTTATCATTGGAATTCAGTAAAGCCTTCAGTGTCCATATATCCTTCAAACTAAAGACATGGAGAACTGGGTTGGGTCTGTTATATTTGGCCATGTCTACTTAGAGAAGCAGAGATAACATGCATGACGAAAGAACAAGGCAAACCAAAGCGAGAACCAGACATAAAGACTGTGAGCATACAGCTGCAGAGGCAGGGATAGGGGGCAGGAAAAAGGAAAACAGAAAATAGCTTCTTTGCTTTTTGATGGTTTTCCAGTCCCTCCTGAGGATGGACCATAGCTAGCTCCTACTGATGCTGGACTTACCATTGCATGATTCTGAGGGAGATGGGATCTGAGGGAGACACCTGTATCTTCATAATAATTATTTTTCTTATGCTTAAGTTATCTTGAGTAGGTTTCTGTTATGTAAGACCAGAGAACGTCAACTAAGACACTTGGCTATGTGGTTTTTTTTGTTTTGTTTTGTTTTTACCTAGGATCATGATTATTTTATCTTTGCCAGTCTTGGTCATTACAATCTGAGTTTCCTGATAAGTTAGAAGTTCCTAAGAGAATGCCAGGGAAGGAAGTTGGAGAGTGAAGATGTAACTAGGCTAGGGTCCCCATCCTAGGTTTCCAAAGCACTTCCTATCAAACCAAGTAGTCTTATCAGGACAAAATTTTTATTGTATCCAAGTTTTATGTTTTTTGGTGTGTGTTCTTTTTTTGAAAAAAGTCTGAGATCAGCTCTAATGTCAAGGCTTTAAAACAAACTGATATATTGCATCCTTACCTAGTATGTCCAGTTGCCGTAATCTGGTACAATTACATGCCAGTTCCTCAATGTCTGTGTCACACACAGACCTGTTGGCCGTAAGAAAGAGTTTTTGCAAGTTTGGGAGGTGGCGTGCCAGTTTGGCAAAGCACCCGGTGCTGCTCTGCAGAGTAGGGCACCAACCGAGGTCAAGTTCCTCCAGGAGCGGACACCCAGATGCCAGCTCTGCTATCCCATTCTCAGTGATGTTCTTGCAACGCCACAGATCCAGGGTGCGCAGTTTTTTACACTTGGCCCCTATCATGCTGGCGATCACATCATAGTCTTCAATCTGGAAGTCAAATAATTCCCATCTTTTACATATTATGCTCAGAAATACGAACAGTTTAGAGAGCAAGTTAAAACATTCTTAATCATCCCCTGTTGTTTGCTTCCATGTAAACATACCCACATTCTCATTAATATAGATCTGCCCACTCATCTCACAGACCTGCCACTGTTTCATAAGACAGCAAGAGTAATCACTTACTTAAAAATCTATTTAACAGAACTCCAGACAGAGGACGTTAATGAATGAAATCCCAAAGCAGTCTGAAATCCTCAGTCTCTCATGAAGAATTTGAGGATTCTGAGCTGCTCCTGTATGCCTCCCAGTTTGATCTTGCTGCTGCTACTCACTGACAAGGTCTAGCTTCTTATATTTTAGATATAATTAATCAACTTTGGAAGATATATAAGATCTCCCTGATAAAGGTGTACACTTTACTAGGCTCTAAAACAGTATGTGAATATGTTGTTAGTACTAATAAGGATATTAGTTTTGGGTGAAAGTAGACATTTGGGGACTGAATATACAACACACAAAAAATTTAGATTATGTATGTTCATTACTGTCACTTATAGGAGGTATCCAATGATTTAGCTCAAGGTCACAGGATAAGCCTTTACTAACCAAGGATTAAACATTTAAGTTCATGGGCTTTATATGCTTTAATAATGTTTCTTTAAATAGGTGCTTAAATTTTAAGAGGTTCATTTGATTTTGTTATAATCAGGTATCAAAATTGTCACCAGAAGTCAAAAGGAAACAAAATAACAAACACTCAGATAATTTCCTTTTGTTTATTTGTTAATCATATTCTCCATTACTACTCGCCAGCACCACTCCAGATGCTAGGAACAACAGTGAGCCAACAAACACTGTGTTCACATTTTTAGGAAAGACATACAAATAATGAGCAAAATAAACTCAGAGAGCGGTAAGTGGCATGAAGGTAGTAAAGAGGGGGGTGTGAGAGCAATCGGAGAGTCAGGAGTTAGCTGAGGGAGGGCGAGGTGCTGCTGTGATCTCCAGGGTGAGCGCAGTGCATTCCAGGGACAGAAATGAGATCGGCGTGGGCCTCGGGAGTGCAGGACAGGACAGGCTGGGAGGGCAGAGAGTTATGCTGGGGCCAGGCCATTAGGCCATGAAGGCATTTGATTTTTATTTTAAGTGCTAAGGAAATCAATGGAGGGTTAGAAACAAATGTGATTTATATGAAAACAAACAAAAATCCCTCTTTATTCTATCTGAAAGAGAGCCTATGGTGGGTAAGAATCGGGGAGGAGGCCCAGTGAAAAAGCCTGCACTAGCTTAGAGGAGAGATGACAGGGGTTTGGGTTAAGGAAGTAACAGAGGAACTGGAGAAGTAGACAGATTTGGGGCTATATTTTGAGTCAGAACCTAAGGCTTATGGACTAGATATAGTGGTGATAGTCTCTGGTCTTTAGCAACTGCATATGGTAGAGTCATGGAGAAGCCATGAGAAACAGATTGGGGAGGATATAACTATTCACATCAGTGAGTGTACCTGAATAACACAGACCTGTAGTGCAGCCAATTTGCTTCTTTAGAAAGAAACATTCAAAACTTTCTGAAAACCATGATTCTGATTGCTATTATTTTGATAGTCAGAAATAAAATAGCAAGCTGACCTTTTGGTCAATTGACAGAAAAAAAACTGAGATAAACATAGTATTAAAGTATCAACAAAGAGTTATCTCTGTTGTTGTCCTGGTAAACTCTGGACCTGCTGTGAAGTAAGAACTATGGCAGGCATGAAATTAGGATGGTAGTAGCAATATTAGCATTATTTCTGAACTTTAATGTCAAGTCCTTAATATTTAATTTCCTGACAACAAATATCAATGGTAACAATATTTTATTAGTAATTACATACTTTAAATTAAAAGTAGCTTATTTTTCTAAAAGAGCATTTACCATAGTGTATTACATATTAATAGAAGGAAAATCCAATGCTGAATTAGTGGGCTCACAACACCGTATCCAGAGACCAGGGTGGGCCTGAGCCCAGAGTTAGACTTTAATCAGGCCTAACCACCAGAATTTAAAACTACAGGGACATGGAGACTAATATGTCATTTTAATTGGCCTCTCCAGCCTACATTGCCAAACCTTGAGGCACCTCTGAAGCCACTGCTGAGCTCTAAAAGATGTTCAATGGGATCTATTTTCTGGTCAGTGACTGTCCCTGTTGATTCCAAGTCTAGAAACCTCTCTGGAATCTTGCAACCATCCTGCTTATTCTGATCTTCCTAATAAGTGGATGCAAAACTGAAATAGTTGGGGATCCTCTAAATCTGCCTTGAAGAGGAATGGACTGCTTACAACTATACTGGGAGATGCATTTCCTGGAAATGTGAGCATACATGCACGACACACACACATAACGAAGAATTCTATAGTCCCTTGAGTGTCAATATTATTTATAAGTCACGTAATTTAGATGAAAAAGACTTAACTCATCCCATGAGCTCTTTCAATGACCCCTAAAGTACTAATTTTAAATCTGGAAGGACTGTATAGACTATCTAGTCATACAGTCCCTAGGCTTTTGGATTTCATGGACCAGTA